TACCTTTTTTCATGACTCCGTTTAACTGTAATTAATAGCGGTCCAAAATAATCGATACCGGTCTTGACAAAAGGTCTAACTGTAGGTTCTAGCCTACAGGGCGGTAGTTGACCCATCATTGGGATTTCTGGCGAAGCTTTTCTATTCTTACATTTTTGGCACCCATTCCAGGAACTCTTAACAGCCTGTCGCATACGCAGAATCCAGAATTTCTGTCTAAGCTTATTTATCACGGTTTCTTGCCCTTGATGACCAACTTCTTCATGGTAGTTTTGAATTATTAGCCTGGAAATCCTGTGATCAGGATCTAAAATGATAGGTTGCTTGAAGTCTTTACAGACACCAAGTAAATTATCAAATCTACCATTGAGTCGTAGCAATCCACTGGTTTCATCCATTGAGCAAGATAGAGTGTATAATCTACTTGCCTTATGGATCGGTTGATTTTGTCTTAGAGTTTCAATTTCTTTTCTGAAAGAATCTTGTTGAGCCTTCCTGTATAATAAATTTTCGGCTTCTGAAATTTCATCGCAATCGAGTTCAACCAAACTTGTTAAGGAAATATCTAGAGTTCTTTTATGATTCATTTTATTTTTACAGTTTTTGATGAACCTCAACATCCAACCAGTAGCTCTAACAAGACGATACAATTTTGAGAATCTTTCCAGATTGGGAACTGACAGATTATTTGTTTCAAAATTCAGAAAAACAAAATCTTTTCTCACTTCCAAATCTAGGTCGTCATCATTGATTTCCAGATTTTCTTTTTCTTTGGGCCAATAGTCTTCAGACTTTCGTAAGAACTTAGGACCGTACAGCCATCTACTGTTCATTGAAAAATCTATTTCACTACGTTTAGTTGCTTCGTCTGCGACATTTTCTTCGGAGGAAACATATCTCCAGTCGGTAGCTTTCGTCAAATTTTGAATTTCGCCTACTCGATGAGCGACAAATATTGCGAAAGGCCTGGCAAATATCTTGAAGAAGTATTTTGCCCTGAATGATGAAATTTGCCAGAAATCCAACGGGATCGAATAAAGACATCACAACTTTGAGAATTTCTCTTTTTGTCGGTCGTCGTTTATATTCCAAGATTGCATTGTCAATTTTATGAAATTCAGTTCGGAATAGAAAATTGTCTCCAGTTGAATTCCAATAGACACCCAGAACACGTTCTGTCACTGCTTCTGGATTTGTTTCCAGGCTCTTATCACCTCGAGCTTTCAAGTTTGGATCAATGTCTTCAAGGAGTTCATCTGAATTAGATATCCAGTTGCAGATAATGAAACCACCTTGTGAATGAACATGAATTACGTCCTTTATTAGTTTTTTACCTTCATTTATCGAATCAGCATTTCCTAGAAAGTCGTCCATGTAGTGCTCCTCTATGATTGACTTCGTTGCCTCTGGATATTCCTTCTCGAAATCTTTGGCATTCCGGTTTTTTGCTTCCTGTGCTAGACAGGGCCCATTTGTAGATCCGAAGAAGACTACGCCGATCTCATAAACGTCTGGATCCCGATTTCTATCCATCCCACGCCATAAAATTCTTTGTGATGCACAATCTTCCTTACATACCCTGACTTGCAGAAACATTTCTTTTATGTCAGCAATGAATGCGAATTTTTTGATTCTGAAATTTAGTAGAATAGTTTGTAAATCGTTATATAAATCTGGACCAGTGATCAAAACATCATTTAAACTGATTCCATTTGACTTTGAGGCAGCATCAAAGACTATTCCCAATTTTGTCGGTTTCTTAGGATTTATAATACCAAAATGACACAGATACCAAGTTTTGGGACTGGTTTGTTCAGCTTCTTCTCGAGAAAGTTTTCTAATGTAATCTTTACTCTGTAGATCCATTATTTTGTCACAATATGCCTTGCCATACGAAGGATTCTTATAAATTTTTTTCTCTGTGCACAAAAGTCTTTTCATAGCATTATTTTTACTTTCTGGTAGGGTTATATTTCCATTTTTCCAAAGCAAACCAGTCTCAAATCGATTTCCAATTCGTTTCATTGTTCTATCAAGAATGTTTCGAGCTCTAATATCTTCTTTTGATGAAGCTTTCTCAATTTTATCTAACCAAAAACAATCTAATTTCCACTGTTCTTTTACAAGATCATGTAATAAATCTAAGTCGTCCTTTTCTTTATTATTATTATTTACATAGCATACAAACCCAATTTTGTTTGTCTGACGGTCTGTAGTTTCCAAAACATTTCCATGGATTACCCACCCTAAAAGCGTTTTGCTAAGGGCAGGCCCATTCCATGGACCAGTTATGATTTTTCGGTTAACTAGTAATGGCCAGTTATCTTGACCAATCAAAATTTGTGGTTTCGCATTTTTCATTGATATACCTCTACTATCTATGTAAGGATATTGTTTGCAAATCTCACCTACATCCACCGTCTGTGTTGGTAGAGACATTCCTTTTATTGTCCTCACATTTCTCAATTGAAACTCACCATTTCCATTCTCAGCTCGTACCGTGAAACTTATAATCCTGGAATCGTCCTGTTCCTTGGTTTGGTTGTTTGTCCATTGTAGGCATAGTGGTTGTTGAGGACCCTCGATGTCCAATGCGTCTGCTAAATCTTGATCAATAAGAGTAACCGTAGAAGCATCATCTAGAAGGGCATATGTTTTAATACTCTTATGGTTACTACAAATCATTATCGGTAGAATTTTCAGCAGTGCATGTTTATTTGTTGAAATATAGCAATTCACATGGGCACCCGTCTGGCTACCAGATGGAGATGGTTCCACATTAATAGGTTCATCATCTTTTTTATGTAGGAGTGTATGATGGTTCTTTTTGCAACTATTTATTCCACACATCTTTCTCTTTTAACATACAAAAATATTATGGAATGGTATTAGACAAGCGAAACAGATTTTGTTGGCTGTTACGAATTCCCAACGATGATCGACAGTCAATGATTTGAATTTGGAACACTCGGTCAAATGATGTATTTCGTCATGGCAACAGATACAGTTCTTTTTAACCATCGTTGTCAATGTCACATCCTTCTTATGATAATATTTTGACTTTTTCGTGTCACTGTCATCATGAAATCTAGGTATTTGAATATGACTAGCTATCATTGCCTTCTTATCTTACCATGTGGTGAATTCAACTAATTTATGTGTTTGAGATGGTATGCTGGAGATATATTCAATCCACATCATTTGATAAGAGTTGGGCAGTTTCTTCAGAAGTTTATACAACAGTATAGGATTATGTAAGTGATCTTGGGCATCTAAAGATTCGATAGTTCCTACAAGATTTTTCACTTCGTCTGAGAATTGTATCAAAGTGTCTAATTTATCTTCTTTGACGATTGGAAAAATCTTGATTTGATCTAGAAGTATCAGAATGATTTGTTCTGGCTGCCCAAATCTATTCTGAAGAATTTGCATTATCTTATTAACATTCTGAGGCATGATGAGCAAACTTTGAACGATTTTCCTAGCGTTACCTCTCAAGCATTTTTGTAAACGACAATGATTTTCCTCTTGTGAATATCCACAAATAGCAGTAGAATTACGATATTGATACATAAAATTAGGCCATTCTGTCGGATTCCCACTGAAGATAGGCAAGTCTTTCGGCATTGACTGTCTTGTCAGCAATTTTGTGAGTCGATTAGGAGATATTTGCTTTGGATATTCATTTGGGAAATTCACAGTAGAGCATGGACGAGAAGCAAGATAACCTGATCCTCTTACCTCATGTTCCGCTTTTGTTACCGTTTCTGGCATTTGCCACTCCAGATCATTCCTTAGCTCTCGACTAATCCAGGGATCCTCGCCATCAACCCATTTGTTAATATCGGGTCCTTTATTTGACCTCTCGTGCGACTCACTCGACCCAGAATCCTCTTGATCTGACTGTTCTTCCGCTATTTCAGCTAATTTGAAAGCTGACTCCAAGTCTAGCATTTCTTGTTTCTTCTTATACTCTAACTCCAGCACTTCTTGTTCTAGAGCTTTCTTCTTCATTGCAATTTCTAATTCCGCTTGACGTCTTCTTGATGCATTAGTCTTGCTACTTCTCATCGTACCACTCTTGACATGAATCTGATTCTTGCTCCTCTCGCCACCTTTTGATCCACCAGACTCTGATGGAACTTGATTTGTCGAGGTAGCTTGTTCTATCTCTTGAGCGCTTTTCATGCCTTTGGCTTTAAGACGTTCGCTTCTCCTCAATTCGTGAGTAGACATTTTTACCACAGTGTAGTTCAAGTAGACGCGAAGGACTATTTGTTGAAGAGTTTACCTGTAAAGATACTCCTTATATCCAGGTTCGAAAGACCATTTGTTGAAGAGTTTACCTGTAAAGATACACCTTATATCCAGGTTCGGAAGACGATTTTTCTAAATTGAAAAATTAGTTGTTGTCAGATTTGAATTATTTATTTATTGCCACCCGTTATTGACAAAAAATTTCAAAGGTCACTAACTTTTCACAAATATTTTACATATAGGAAATATTATACAATGTGTGCCCGCTAAAGGCCAAACTGGACAAAATATACCTAATAGATTAAAATACAGTATGCAACATATTTCCATGGACGATGTTCTTCTGAAATATCAACAATTGTTCCTCCCTTGGTAGTCCCCGGAGATTAACCCGTCGAGTTGAGGCTTCGCACCCCTTCGTGGTCACTTTGAAGACCTGCAGAACATCTCTTTCCAAAGACTCGTTCATCCAACGAACAGCGACGCTCTGGAACACATTGCCAAGAGAGGTTTCCCCGAGGCATATAACCTTCAGAAATTCAAAAAGAACACCAATCCTTAAATTATTTTCCTTGGTTCTGACGATGTTCTCTGAACATTACAGGATATCCCTTTTCGTGGGAACCAGAACATAAAAAAAATATGAACATTTTTCCTCAAAATTGTCTCAGGAATACGTCACTCGAATATTCAAACGTACTTATGTTACATCCTGTATACATCGAATTTTCTTTTTTCAATAGTGCTTGATGGCTCCAAGGATACGCTCTCGACCGAATCGATGAAGCAATTACTACCATGGACGAAGAAGAAGATGAAGAGCATATGTTCCAAGAAAATACTGTACAGAAGGATACCTATACTCGACTGGTTGCCAAGATATAACAAATCGTGTGTTGTTGGTGATTTTATTGCTGGCATAACTGTAGGACTCACATTGATTCCACAGGTGAGAATTACACATTCTCTTAGGTATCTGCTCTGGTATTTACTCGACTTGATATCTATTTGAACAACAATGAAGCAAAAGTAGAAACTTGATTATATCAGTATTGTTCATGATTCGTGAAAAAGGGCCATGCACGAATATTGCATTAGATAGAGTATGTCTTATTTTTATATTTATTGATAATTGCAATACCCCGTATGGTGCGGACTGATAAACATCATGGATATACAGGGTGTGATTTAATCGATAGCTGAAAATAAAGGATACGTTTCGCTCATTTTGAGAAGAGAAATTCATATTAACATATGCCCTAAACCTCTCAACTCTCGACCTATGAGTACGGTATTGAAATTTCAAGAAAAAAAGCATTTTCTTATTATATCGTCAATACCATTCTAGATATTTTCATGAAATCAGTAGGTGCATACTAAGCACCAATAGGCATTTTTAATGCAGAAGATTTTTTCGAACGTAAGAGATGTATCCTGGAGAGTTTTTGAAAGAAAAATTGACGCCCTTGATTTCTACGAGAATGAAAATATTTTTTTAAATCCTTATTCTTAACTACTCAGTAGGCTAATGCCCTATTTTGAATTTGAAATAATGAAATATGATCGAATACGTTGAGGTCTTATTTTGACAAGTATTCATAAACGTAACAGTTTTTCACATTGTGTAAGTTTCTTTGATCAATAATGAGAAAATAAAATGTTAACACCCTATAGATCGAAAGTTAAGAGGTTTAGGGAATATGTTCTTATGAACTTTTCTTCTTGTATAATCAATGTACCAACAACAATTATTTACGAATTCAGTGGCAGATTTGCAGTCGTGGCCTCCCTATGCACTCGCAGTCTTGGCCTCCCTAGGGCCATAGATTAATAGGGCCTAGCCCATGAATGTTTTCTATCGCAAACTTTCAACGATTTTAATTTTTTACTGACGTGAAAATCCAATGATATCAGTCAATTTGTGGACATCTGATTGAAGACAACCAATCGAGCCAATATTTTACTGAAAACAGATCCCATATGGGCTGTTTACTTCATTCTAATATGTTGCAAAGGATATATTTTATTTCATTCCGATCCTGACATTCCAAATATTCGATATTTCAAAATGTCACGAATTGTTTGTAATGAAAATCGATGAAAATATTGAACCAAGGTAATACCTATTTATATATTAAAGGAGGAAAATGATCCATGGATAATTTTCCTCCCGCGTGTGGAAATGAACCTTTGCTTCCATAATATATACATGATTTAATCAACGTTCACATTCTTTTGAAGCATCATTCTTGGAATTGTGCTTCAGGCGGTCTATCTCTTCATCCAAATCATTATGCACCACAAAGCTCTAGAATGCCATAAACAATTATTGACAGCATTAAAACGAAAGTCAATTTGACACTTCTGTCATCATGAATAAATGAGCTTGTATATTGTGAAACTGAATTTGAAAGTTTTGATCAGGAGTACATTCGGAATATGAAGATTGTTGTTATGCTTGTTTTATAATAGTGATAAAGACACTGATTAGTTGGATTGCTCAGATTTTATAGCTATATCAACGCCAAAGGATACATGCTGAAGCCAATTTATTTCACCTCCCACGGTAGTTAATATTTTTTTCCTCCTGTGGGAGTGAATTGACTTTTTTTTTCATTAATGAGGGAGCAAACGTCTATTTTTGATTCTGTGAGTTGATGAAAGAATTATCAATCACTCCAATAGATCGATCGCGGTCAGTCGATTGGCATAAAGTGGTGTAAAAGATCATCGAACATCAACTTTCAGTGTTCGATGACAAAATCAAGAGCTTATGAAAATTACGTGGCATAACAATCTCAATTCAATATATCAACGAAGAATATCTCATAATGAAATTATTCATGTAATGAAAATACATCTTCATCAATAATAAACACTAACACGGTTGGATCCTAATTTAATTTTGTCAATCATTGTTTTTTTGTTAATTACATATTCTGAATGAATGTTTTTTTCTTCTTTTCATAATCAGCATACAATTGTCTATCCAAATAACCCTCAAACACTGATAAATGCTCAAGAAGTGTGTTCAACTTTCTCAAGCCTATTGTTGCTTAAAGGCAACAGACCTCCGCCTACGGTTTTCAAGCAACAAGCTTCGAAATCTGAAATAAAAATTGTTCAATCAATTATCGAAGTCCTTGAGTTATCACTATTGAGAACAATTCAGAAATTTAGTTGACAATAACGGCTGCTGGGTGTCAGAGATAATTGCACATTTTAAGGAAACTTTCAAGATGGTTTTGGGTTTGTTCAATTAACTACATGTTTATTCTTATACGCCTGGTGAATGACGCCACACTCAGTCACTCTTTGACATCATTGCAACACCGTAGGAAGGTCGGCCACCTTTCACTTTTTCATCGATACTTCCACGGGAAATGTTCTTCGGAAATCTCTGCTATCATCCCTTCACTAGCAATACCAGTCAGACGAACTAGACGAGCCCTGTCAGCACATCCTTTCGTTGTCAACCTCGAAAAATGTCGAACAACATATAATCTCCAGAAGTTCAAACAAAATTCCAATACCTACCTCCTGTCCCTATCCTCACTAGGAACGCACGATGTTCTTTGAACATTATAGGGATTTCCTTTCGTGCGTTCCAAGCGATACAAAAAAAAGATTTTTCCGTCGACCTCGTATCAACGACTAAGTTTAATATATATGAAATCGTTCATTATTGACCCCTATTAATGGACGATTTGTCTATTAATGCACGATTGTTTTATAGGCAACCAAACATACACCGCGTGCATTCATTGTTTATGCTATAACTAGCGGAATCTGCATTTGAATCGAAAATATGGATTTCATCAACGATTTTCTTTCCAAGTTTCTGACACGATTTTAATCCCTGTTTTCTAACACAAGGAATTTATTTCCTATGTTGATCATTTCGACAAATGTCAAATGACACTGATGTCAGTAACAAGGCTACTGGGATTCTTAGCAGTTTCCGGATGGATGGTGAATTCGCGAACCAAGTTTTTTTCATTGCAGGAGAAATGAGAAATATAGTCGACGGAAAAATTTTGTAACCAACTTGTATATTAAAAGGCGATTAATGATCTCGAACATTAACGCACTCGCTTCGCTCGCACGTTAAAATATCTCGATCATTAATCGCCCTCATTAATACACTAGTTGGTTAAATAACTATTTCAACAATGTGTCACAAAACTCGTCTGCACATGGCGCCGCAAAATCATTCATCAATTCTTTGCAATCCATTTTTTTTGTCACGATTGACCGCCCTCAATATCTCACCCCTCTATAGGGTCCTGTCCTACTAACTGTGCCTCATAGGAAATCCGCCACTAATGAAATGAGGATTTCATCACATAAGGAAAAAATGGGAACGTGCATGTGTCATTCATTTCGAATCTTCCCCAAAGACAAGGCCAGAAAAAATTGTTTTACGCTCCGCTCGGCTATGCACTATCAGCTGCGGCAGTCAATCTACTACTTTGCCGCCTAGTTAAACAAACAACTATTTTCTCCAAGCGGTATAGGAAGTGTCTTTTCTCTGACACTCAACAGGCAGGAAAGTAGTACTTTCTCTGCTCAGGCAGTATATAGTTATTCGCGTAACATGTCCAGAAAATACTGTTTTTTGGACTAGTAGACAAAATTATAGGTCGAGCACTAGGCGAGTCCGGGAAGTCGGCGAGTTCAAAAAAATATTTCTTGGACGTGTTCATTAAATACAGAAATTTGAATCAGGAGCGTCATCTTGGTGTATACTAGGAAGGGGGGCAAGGAACAGAGTGATCATTTTATGCATGTTATAAAATGCGCAGCGGGCGAACTGTCATTCAAGTTCAAGGTCAAATGCCTTCAAATTGTCAATCAACATTTTTCCAGAGTGACAACATCATTATTACACATCTCACATTTTATTCAATTTCATTTTCTCGTTGTGTTATAATTGCTATAAAATTATAAAGAGAATATATATGACGATTGGAAGAGCAAGTATTTGAATACTTTCTGAAGGTTGACTGAGCAGGAGAATTTAAATTTCTTTGAATTGAAATCTGAATATAATTTCAATACCCATATTTGTGTTATGAGGAGAAAGGGTCACTGATTGTTAGTAACAGATTTCTGTCCCAGTTTTATGAGAGTAACATAATATTTTGAACGCAGGGACATTTTTGTTTCATTATATGTTTTATTTTTAGAAACTAGGAGAGAAAATCCTAAAGAATCTAGGGAGACAACGAAAATGAAGAAACTTCAATCAAATACGAATAAATAAAAAATTATCTGAATGAGGTTGAAGTAATGTAAATTATTGGTTGAGTAGTGTTGAATGATTTTTATCAAACAAGGAATACTGACGCATTTCTCAATCTCCCGGAATTATTCAGAGATTCTCTAATTCATTTCAATAAATTCATATCATTCATTCCATGCAAAGACTATCAGTCTGTTGTCCGTGGAAGTATCTGTACTAGGTATAAAAAATTTGTTGATAGCGCTCCTTGATATTCTCAAATGGCCGAAGGAGCCAGTTTTCACAATAATTCTGATATTTACTTCCCTATTTGTGTGTTTGATACTCTCTATATCATACTGCCTGACATATCGAACATTTCAAAATGATAGACATTTTTCAATTCAGATACTGATCTATTTCGTTTTGTGTCATTAGTACAAGAAGATTCATTATAAAATTATTTTTTTGTAGAAAACCTGGGAAGGGGGGATGCAATTGCTGCCCCCTTCCTAAATGACGCCCATGATTTCAATAGAATACGTTAACCTACTAACAGCTGCTGCTTTCGATATTTCATTGCGATAATTGCCACCAAACTTTCATAATTCTAAATGTCGAATGATTTCATGTTGAATATCTGTCAGTCGTTATTTTGCTACTATGGTTATGCTCATCTGTATTCATCAAAACCATACATATCAAAGTTTTTATAGCTACAGTTACAACAACGATGTGATACTTCATGCCATGGCCTAGTACGGGAAGTACGCACTTCCCGGACTACGCCAGAAGAATGCTACTTTCTAGAACACAAAGCGTTCGGAAAGTTGCCGAAAAAGTTTTTGGACGTATGACAAATTGATATTCATTACACAGGACATGGAAATGGAATGAAATTAGTAATCAATGTTGACACTGACATTGTGTGAACACAAAATGATTGAGTTTTCATTAAAAAAGTCACACAAAATTGGTTTCATAACATTTGGTAAAAAAATATATGTTTCACATGGCAGCAAATGTAGATTGGCTGCCTTGGCTGAATTCCTAGCCTATCAGCCGCGGCAGTAGATCCTTTACTTCGCTGGCTAGTGAAACAAATAGCTATTTTTCTGTGACGGGAAAAAAGTTTGGCATTTCATTTCTGTTGGCAGGTTATAAAATGTCACTTTTCATAAATTACTTTTTTCCCGTGGGAAAAAAGTGAGTACTTCTTTCCCGGATATATATCACATATATATACTCTGTTAATGGCTTTTGTTGTGCTACAGTTCCGAAAAATGAGTCAATAATACCGTCTCCGAGAAAGAACTGCAAGTCCTTTTATCTTCCATTCGACTTCGCGGTTTCGTATATTACTAAACAACTACTGAATTCGCAATTTTTTGAAATCAAATCACAGAATTGAACTGACAGAAGTGACATCAGATATTTGATTACTTCAAAAGAATGATAAAGATGCCTATAAAACGCAGGTGTCCCTCCTGTTAAAAACTTGAAATTTCACGTCGATAATTTTCAGATTTCGAAATAATGTAATATCTTCTCAATATTGATTCGTCCTTCCTTCTGTCACAGAAAAAAATAGTGTATTATACACGGGAAAAATATTAGATTTTAGCTCACGGTTTTTTGTCTCCCTCCGCTACGCTACAACACAACCTGGAGCTAAAATCTACTACTTTTTTCCCTTGTATAATAAATAGCTATTTTTGCACTCAGCATGCAACAAACATAAACTCTTTCACTAGTTGTTATCGGTCGTGAATTGACAAAATATTCGATATCATAATCTCTTTCAGGCGTTGGCCTACCACAGCATCGTCGGCCTACCACCAGAGTACGGTCTGTACAGCTCTTTCATAGGCTGCTTCATCTACATCGTCTTTGGTAGCTGCAAAGACGTTCCCTTCGGCCCTTCTGCCGCTAACGCCTTCTTGACGGCCCAGGCTGTCAAGGGGAGAGGACCAGAACATGCAATTCTGTTAGCGTTCTTATCAGGAATAGTGCAATTACTAATGGGGTTTTTCGGGTTAGGTGAGTTATGGGCATTAAATGAAAACTATTTCAATCGTAATACGGAATAATGAATGAGTTGTTCCGTAATGATAATAACAGGTTTTTGATACCTACATTTCGGGAACTGATCTGCAGGGATGGATCATAACCGATCGGCCGATTTTATAACACAGCACTCAACCCAGGTAGCCCAAGTATGTCCCGTGGGTTAAATAATTCCCAAACCTGCTCAAATTGTACCCAGAAACAGCAAAATAGGTTTCGCCGTTGAAATTGTCTCCCAAAAAATCTCACACACTCTGAATCAATTAATTTTTATTTCTATAGGAAACCACTCACGAAGAGACACAAACCATAGCTGTCCTGACAGACTGAAATAGTGGATCTTCCAATCTGATATATGGCAGTTAGATAGATAAAGCTGTCAAGTCTCTCATCAGTTTTTTGTTTCACCATTAATGCTATTTGTTCAATTTTTATTGAAGTACTGAAATTATAATTTCAGTAGTGGAACAATGGGACGAGACAATCAGATTCTGCGTCAAATTCATAATATTATTTTTAATATACAGGCTGATTCACGGTGGATGGCACATAAGACGTTTCTGGTGAACCAGACAACGTATCATTATGAAAATTTGATGTTAAGCATATTATAATATATGGACATTCTCTATCCAAATAAATTATTTTCCACAATGCGGTGTTGTCCCTTCTATTAAAAAGTAGTAGGTAGATGTAGTATAGCTACTTTGATCATGTCTCTTTCAGAATCTTCAACTATTCCCCAACCACTTTGCTTGTTCCCCATACAGGGTGTGATTGATTTCGGAAGAGAAGTGTCATATGAACGTGTGCCCTAAACCTCTGTACTTTCGAGCTATATAAGGTGTTAATATCTCATTTCCTCTTCATTATTATGTCGGAATTCCGACTTAAGGAATTTCGACATTAATATAAGTCGAAATTGAATAATTCTAAAGTAGGCAGTAAGAATTCCGACAATGAGTCGGAATTAATTAGTTCCGATTAAATAACTCGGAATTCTGAGATACTAAGTCGGAATTCCGACATAATTAAGTCGTAATTAAATAGTTTCGAGATACTAAATCGGAATTTTGAAAAATAATTGTGGTCACCCTTCAACGCCTTCGTGAAAAACTATTTTAGTTAGGGATACTTGTCAAAATAAGACTGCAATGTAATCGATAAAATGCCATTATTTCAACCACAAAATACGGCACTAGCCTACTAGTTCGAAATAATTTCGTTATACTACAAATGCATTAAAATAGTTCCTATTTTTTCACGCCTAGGAACTCGGAGCGTTGTAAAATCGATCATGATTTGCAAAATGAATTTCAAATTTGAAAAAAAAAACGAACAATATTTCTTCTGAAGAATCTCTAGTCTATTGGTGCTTTGTAGCTTCATATCAAATTTCATGAATATATCTAAAAGCGTATTGAAGTTATGATGAGACAACAAGTTTTTTTTTTATTTCGACACCCTATAGCTCAAAAATTGACAAAATATATAGATTCATATAGGGCATAAAATCATTTGGAGCGCACGATATGAAATTCCTGTAATGTTCATGGAACTTTATGCGTACCTAGGGAGGACAGAGAGAGGAAGAAGGTGGATTTTTTTTCAACTTTTGTGGGTTATAAGTTCTTGGGAATACTACCATTGGCAAAGAATTTCAAAGCTTTGCCGTTCTATAGACTAACGAGTATTGGAGAGTGTTGTTCGACTGGGCCTGTCGAGTTCGTCCGTGGAAGGATCTATAAAAAGTGAAAGGTGTCCACCTTTTCTACGGTGTTCAATGAGGTAGAAGAGTTATTGAGGGTGGCATCAACAACCAGGCGAATGGCTCTACTCTGGATCTAATCTAAGAGCATCAGCGTATGTTTGGGTGCTGAACCTCATACATGAGAACAAAATTCGGAAACTGGCCGTATCTGTGCTTTGTAGATCATGAGAAGCTGTCGAGGTATGAAGTAGAATTTCGCACGCAACAAGGAACCAAGTTATTCTGAAGCACCTTTCTCGATGGGTCGTACATGATTCTCCCATGAGAGAGTATTGCTGCGGAATACCGAGCAAATATATAGAAGTCGTGGTATGAACGTTTCTTCTTGAAATGAGCATAGGTTTTTGCAGATTTCTTGGGAACCTCTACTTACTACTTTCAGGTTGAGTATTGAGAGGACTAACTGCGGTCATATACCAATTTGACAATTCATCTATCTAAGGAGAAATATAAAGAAAAATGTGACGATATACCCTAACTTTGCCACTGGTTGACAAGATCGAAAAATAAAAAAGCTATGTGATTACTCTGATCAATCTGGATCGGTGAAGTGAGTTCCATATGTTTTCTACAGGGGTTCTGGAGAAATTCAGAGAAATATCAACTTTCTTTCGTACTTTCAACACCCTGTATCTCAGTGAGGATGGATTTTAGGACATACGTCGATAAAAACTTTTCAGCTCAAAATGAGGTGGAGAACCTGTGTAAGGAATTTGTTGGTCTTATTCGGCCTCACCCTGTATATGTCTGATCTGTTATTGTGTTCGGAATGAAAATTAAGTCTGATTTTTCTCTTCGAGAAAGATGACTTCTGCTAATGTCATATTCTCCATTTAAGACGTGCTATGATATCTAAATTTGGTTTAAAGTCAGGTTATACTCTTGGAGGTTCGTCACACTGCCGCCCAATCTCCGTCATTTCAATACAGGGTGGTAAAAAAATACAGCTATTACGTTCTGTTCGACGTTGATTAATTCGAAGAAAAAAACCTGTATATATTATTGGAAATTCGGAAAGCTACTGAAATTTGATTTCTTTCTATGAGCATTTATTTATTAAAATGTTCCTTCATAATGGTATCCCCATTCGTTATTTGGTGAACAGGACTTTGAAGTTGTGACATTCTCCTCTCTCCTATTCGATCCGTGGTAACAGATAGCTATAGGGAAAAATCGAAGAAAGTTGCTTGAAAATTTTTGAGGAATGAAAATTATATTTTCACGGAGAAGCTTAGGGCCTCCACCATAATATATGTTACGGTAGGGTGATATTCCCTACCACTGGACACGTTCCCTTGTGAAAGATGCCGAGCTGCGGGGTTCAGATTATTGAGGGTACTTATGGCATGCCAGAGGTGATGTGACTATGGAGGGCGTTGCAACAAAAAAATAACTAGAGTGTGAATAAGAATACTACAATTTGATCAAATAAAGCGAAATTGCCTGTCTACCAAGTGATACAAATCAAATGAGACTCAAATCGAATGTGAGTGTAGAAGGAAACAAGTTTGAATCAGGTTTGAATAATGAAAACAAGTGTACCTAACTAAGTCAAGAATACTAAGAATCAAGTATAACAAAAAAATCAATCGTGAATAAAACCAAGTATAACGAAATCAAGTGTGCTAAACATCAATTCGAAAAAAAATGTTGACTACCAATCCCTACCAGGGTAACATGTGGAACTCCTTTTCATTGGTGCTACAACTAGCCTCATCCCTGGATTCACTGACAGTTGCCTTAGGAGCCTGACACAATATTAGCGGCGCTCGGGGTCACCATTTTCCTACCCACGGGGCCAACTGACAATCAAATCAAAGAATATAGGTGCTTACATCGATAATAAAGATTCTGCTACCAGGGTCACAGGGGGGACGATGCGTCGGAAATGGACCATCTCGTCTGGGGTATATTCAGGAAGGGGTGACTGACGCGAAATGCGGCTCGAATAGCGGCCCGCAAAACTTAGACAGTAAATGATAAATTATCGATTACGACTGATAAATATTCAAACATAATCGATAATGATCGACGAATGAAAAAACGAATGACTCAATGACTGAGTTAAATTTCTTCCTTCCTCGATCACCGTGGGGTCCTTTTCCATTTAAATTTGCTTTGTTTGCTAAGCTCCCCAAGATTACCAAAATAGGGCCCAGGTCGTGAAACTCCTGAAATCAATGATCACTTCCATGTTTTGCGTCATGCTTGGTGTTATGTTGACGACTTCTATTCATACGCGAGAAGAATGGATCTAATTGTTTGATTAACTTTGGTGAATATTTGGAACGACATGGATCTGGAAAGTTTTTATTGAATTGTATATACTGAGTGATCCCATATGTGGCAATATAATGATATACAAGGTGTTTTATTCAAAAAATGGAAGTTGCAACTATAGTTCCTAATAGATGTGGCAACACCCAAAAATCACTACTACCCTCTGATGAAAGTAGCAACACTGAATTGCCGAAAATATTTTAGTTGGAAGATTTTCCGAATAATATGCTATTCATCAAATTTTCACAGTGATCCGTTGTCTGGTTCACCAGGAACATCTAATGTGCCCTCCACCATAAATCAGACTGCATATTTTGGGGTAGGTATATTTATTGAGTTTGATTGTGATAAAAATGATAATAATTTCTGTTTAAAATACGGTTCTCGAACGGAGGCTTCTGATAGCAAACGTTGAAGGCGATCTCATTGAAAAAGCTTCCTAAAATGCATTTCCAAACTTTTGGATATTGCAAAAAACGAAAACTTCTCGTTTTCGGGGCCTGGTTCACTTTCAGTTCCAGTTAGACGAGAAACAAATCACCTTGTGTATCTAAAAACGTACCAGCTGTATAGCGCACAATAATTCATAGAATTCATACAAGAATCGGCGAACAATAATCAATGGATCTTTCAATAATTGATTCATCTATTCAAATATAAACGTGTGGTATTTTTTTCGAGGAAAAATCTTCTTCCTGATATACCTCAAAACGCAATGAATGAGTAATGTGGGCACTTTTTCATTTCTCACACCATTTGAAATGAAAATTCTCGCGATATCCAGATCCTCCATCCAGAATTATCAGTAGTATATCACCTATTATTCGCATCGAAGATTCCCAGGATCATCTAGAGATAGTGATCGTCTAAAAATACCCAAGATGAACACCTACTGAACGAATGAGATATTACTGTGTATTGA